AGTCGTGTTTACTCTCTGGATGGACGGTAGATTAAGTGATTTGACGAAGGTGAACTCTCCAGAGTAATGGTAATAGCGCGTAATGCGGCAGGTTATGGCCATCACAGCCGTAAGGTGACAGCGTTAGTGCATTTGCATCCATACTGCCTGTGTTTATGAAATAAGTGCCGAACACTCGATAGACATTCAATTCCTTTGTCGATTACACTTTAATTGATTTCACTTGCTATATGGAGATACTGTTTATTACTTACCCATCCATTAAAAGGAGAAAGTAGTCGTTGGCAAGAAAAAAAACGATGTTTCAGTTAGGTCAGATTTGTAAAACATCGGGTTTAAATCGAAAATCGAGAATATAATATAGATATAAAATAACCATTTGTTTTTTTTCATATCAAGTTGTATCATTTATTGAAATAAACGTGCTGTTTTCTGTGAGATTCATTGCCGTAACCATGCCAACAATGGATATAGTTATTCCTCTGTCTTCTGGAGTCGATTTATCCAATAGCATTTTCTTTGACGATTATTGAAGATAGTCCCCACTGCAAGTGAGTCAGTTTATATAATACAAATTTCTGAATCGACATAAATTTTAACTCTTCGTAAATTTCCTGATCAGGTGTGTTTATTTCATTGTGTTTTCTGTATTTGAATAATTGTATTTGTCTAATATGAACGAATTGATACAATCAAAATAAAAAAAATACTCACAAAGATTGACATAATACAAATATTGCAAATACATAATGCAATATTTAATATCAATATAGTGTCATTAGTGATTGTTGCCGTGTCATGGATACTCACTTTAACAGAATTATTTGAAATCACGTCTGTTTGCTTTGTATGTTGACAGATCGTTGAAAATCGCCATCTACGGTGTGAATTTCGACACCCGTAGAATATCGGTGTTTGGTGTAAATTTGTTACAATTATCATGTGCAAAGTTTATAAGTAATAGTTTTGACCGAAGCCCTTATGCGAACAATATCACAATACTTGTTTTTAAATTAGTATGAACGCTTTCAAATACATCATTCCTCGCACCCGAAAGCGACGAAATGATTCTGTGACGTAAACGGTGTAATGGAGATTAGTCGTTCACAGCGTTGACATTGTGTTTGTCTGAGATCGACCATCATTAAGAAAATAATCTTTTTTAAATAATTGAACAAAATTGTGAAATAAAAACAACCACACAACCAAATATAGCTGTCTATTAGAACGGTATTGCTTACATACGTAATTTTGACGACACAGAAGTATTTTCGTCGATAGAGGGCGCGATTTATAGGATATGTGTAGCGACAACGTGAACTCCTGTCGAAGTCGAAATATCGTCAGTAGGGATCAACTACTAGTATTATTTCCTTAGGAGAACAAGGATTAGAAATTGTTTCTTCTTGTGATCACAATGCCCTTTCATGGTGGCCACGTGATAGTAAGCATGGGTACTGGTTTTGCTCTCTCTTGGAGACATATCATTGGCAATATACATACATGTACGAGTAGTTTGAGTATGATAACCCACTGTTCACATTTAGACGTTGATATCGAGAACTGAAAAAATGGGTAATAAAATCAAACAAATTGATGTAATAAACCAAAATAAGAACAAATAAAATTATCAATAAAATGAAATACAACGATTTGAGCCTACACCTACTGATGTTAACAGTCCCTAGCTGTCATGACGCAATTCAACCCAATATATGTGGTGTCCGGGTAGATTTTAATAAATGAGGAAATATGGATAAAATGATGTATTTAGCGACAACAGAGGCGGCGGCACGTAGTTTTGCATGGGGGGGGTGTCCTGCTCAATTTTGAAATCTAGACCCTCTAAAACGCTGTTTCCTGCATTTTGAGAGGATTTTTTTTGCTGATATACAGGGGTTTCAGCTTAAATTTGGGAGAAATGCCCCCCCCCCCGTGACGCCACCACTGAACAAGCATATAAGTCGTAGATGAATTAATGAACGGGTGCTACAGTATGTTTCGGCAATACAGTTTGTAAACATTTCCCACATTGCATCTTTCAGATGATGCTGCGCAGTGGCGCATTCCCTATCTTTATACATTGATATCCCATAATACAAAGCGATAATTACGTCATTGTTAAGATGCGCCCCCTAACTGGAAATCCTACATCTGTCCCCATATATACTTCGAGGCACACATACATATTATATATCCAAGTAACCACACTGAAAAAATAACTGTAAATAAAACAATATTTAGAGTTTTAGGTAATCATATAGACTATTAGCCTGACATGTAGGTGTGAGTAGCGCCTTCACCGGCTGAATGGCGTTTGGAGTACCGTGGAGGGCCAAACTCACGCGACCTTGTCAGGCTAATAGACTATGAGCGGAGTGAACTACTAGTAAATAAAGCGCCCTCAACCAAAACATTGTGTAATATTTTTTCTATTGTGTGCGGTCAATCATTATATTAAGTTTATATCGAGTAAGTTCTATGTTCTATTTGTCGTATTCCATTCCAATATAGAAATATGGGAAGACTGCCACCACATTTTCAACATTCACAGTGACACTAAAAGTGGAGATATACTGTCAATATTGTGTTGAGAAGCTATTTATTTGCGATATAAAACCAAAAAATCTAAATAATTCAGTAGGCAAAAGCTTAATTGAAGCGCGATGGTCGTCGCGCAACGCGTGTTCGAATTTCATGTAAATAAACAATGTATTTTACACGCGTTGTATACGTCGCTATGAGTCCCATATCGAACAGGACGCGGCACGACGACTGTCGCCCTTTAAAATGAAAAACACAAATACAGTAAAGATACCTGTACTTGAAATGTTCTCATTAGGTTACTCCCCGTATAACATTCTGGAGATTACCAAAACAAACCATAGAGGGCGCTCAAGTTCCCTCCAAGTCTCATTTGTGCGCCATATAGACTTTCACTATCTGAGCAAGCATTTCTATAATCTCACATTTGAACATTGAAAAAAAAAAAAACATTTAACTAGACACTTAAGAGAAAAGGTTACGAGAAATTGAGTTGACTTAAAGGGCCATTTGATTACATGGAATCTACTAGCTGTGGGTCTAGTGTATAATCTAATCTATGGACCCACAGTTAGGCATCTACCTACTAACATTTTAACATTAAAGGGTGGTGTTCGTCATGCTGCATCCTGTTCGATATGGGACTCCTAGTGACTTATAGATGTGTTATGGTCTTTATTTATAATAGAAGGCCATCGACCCATAATATCTACATACATTATTTATATTTGAAAATAAAATTACAATTTTTAAACAATTGACAATACTTGTAGCTCTTTTCGCAATTTCATTGCGTGAAAAGTAAAGGCTCCCAGTCTTTGAAGAATATCTGTATTTTTTGTACCCATTAATTTGTAATATTTACTGACTGTTGGGGGATTAAAAAAGTTAGCAGGAACATATTTTATTCTTAAATTAACAAAAAAGAAACAAATAAGTAAAAAATGGTATTCATTTTCAATGTTGTTACTGTTACAAAGCAAGCAAATGCGTTCACTCCTATCTACATTATTTTTTCTATCTGTCTCAATTCGAAGATAGTGGCATGAACAGCGGAGTCCAGCTAACATTTGAACATGAGAATGCACTTTCACACAAAATAAATACTTTTCAGGTTCCAAAGAAAATTTAAATTCCCTATAAAATGTCAGTTTGTTTACATGGAATTTTAACACGTGCTGCGTGACGACTGTACAACTTTAGGGTAATTTGCGAACATTCAATGGTATAGACAAGAATGACAAATTTATTAATATTTTGATCTACGAGGGTGTTTAAAGGGCTGGAGTCGTCGTGCCACGCAGTGTTCGATATTCTGGAAATGCACCCTACAGAACAAATTTTTACTAAATAAATTGGTTATTTTTTTCCAAACTGAAACATATTTCAGATTATAAAAGGGACTATTTTGTGAGTTTGTGATGAAAAGAGGGAACAGGTGGTGAAGAGGTTTACATAATTAGTGATTTTGACATTTGTCATCAGGTTATTTTACAGTATACAAAATATTATTTTTGGTGATAGATATCTGAAAAGCAAAATTAAAAAAAGGGACATTTTCAGAAGAATGTCTGCGTTAAAGCATTACTCTAATATTTCATGAAAAATAAGTATTCATGATATACATATACAAGATTTCATTACCCTTGAAACAAATAGTAATGACTAAAAATTGAATTTCATGAATGTTTGATTTGTGTTTTGTGCGAATAGTAGTTTGGCTACTATATAGTTGTACAATGGTTTTGCAAACAGCATAAAATAAAACAAATTCTAAAAGTCAAGAAAATCTGTTTTACTGAAGCAATTTTTTCTCATTCATTTTGGTTGACCTTGAAGACTTTCAACAGGCAATGTTTTAATGGTAGTCAACTTGAGAAACGAAGAATCACTCTAAAAAGTTTCTTAAAAAAAGTGATTCAAACTTTTCAAGAGCATATACTGTAATACACCCCCTAAACATATTAATAGATTTTTGATTATGACACCTGTGCACTAGGAATGTATTTATAACAAATTGCCTTCATCCTGTACATCCTGGGACATACCAAGTTGGGTACACTCCCCAAATTTAAACGCTGAAGTCAGACCACACATATACAGAAATTCAACTAGAAAATAGTTAAGTAGAATCTTTAATATATAAGTAATAGAAGAAATATAAAAATACATGATGAATGGTGAACAGTTAGGACTTTTATAATGCATAGTCAATAAAACTGCAGTAATTGGCAAACCTGAAAGTCAGTTTTTGACTTTGTTGGTATTAATTCATCTAACATTGTTCTAATACGGTGACTAAAATAGTATCAGTATTTGACAAATATAAAAGACAATTGTTATTGCAATAAAATTCCAATCAATGCATTGCATGTCTGAGTTCCGAGTTTTATTCATTATTGTTGCAATCAGAAAAATCTCCATAATTAATAGATCATCATTTAAACTACCCTCTGTCACTTACTGTACAAGTACCTTTTGTATTGTATATGTATTCTGGAGTCTTGGAGTTATGACACGACTGATTGAAATTTAAAGTTCAAAACATTATAAAATCTGTTTTGTATTGGTTCCACATCTAAATACAATGTACAGAGTTAGTGAACTGAACAGCTGATTATAAAGAGTTCCCCGGTCACGGATTTAAATATTGCATAGAGTGATAAGACAAGTCAGATATCTTAGTATCGAGAAAACAAGAACTTAGTTGTAACCTTCAATAAAAAAAAGGTTTATAAATATTGAAATATAGGTTCAGGAATGGAAGAGAAATTATTTGGGATGTTGCGTAGGTATTTATATAGCACAATGTAACCTGTATTGTACTGTGGAGAAAGATAGTGATAAATCTGCATGAAATGACCACTTTTATACAGTTGGAATTGGATGTGTTGGTGAAAACACACTTAATCACAGAATTCTCACCAACACAACTGGATATATATAATGTATTTACATTTTAGCAATGAGAATAATGCAGTAATGCATTCTCATTATACATGTAATATAACTAACACTAGTTCTGTTGTCGGGAATTCAGAGACAGGGTACATTCATCGATTCTCAGTCGAGACATACATTTTGTATACAAGGCAGAATATGATATGTCGAAAAAACCTGGCGACAAACAAGCTGCTGTCTGATTGGTCTGACTGTTAGGTATTATGGTTGGGTATCCAATCAGGTACAATCTTGTATGTAGCTTTGCATTGACTCAAAGATTTAATACATTCTCCTCATTCATAAATGGCAATAATTGGTTTCTTTAAAAATAGTCAAAATGAAAACTCATTCAAATAATCAGTTTACACAGAATTCTAACAACTCCTCCCCCACAGCGTTACTAGATGCAAAGTTTGGATCAGTATTCTATCTTCCAGTGTGTTGGCTGCTCACAGTCTTCCTTACTCTGTCCATCACCACAAAATCGGTTGTACGTTTTTTTTGGATTAAATCCCAGTATTTCTCTTTCATCGTGAATGCGAAACGAAAATGTAGAAACAGACGTACCCATGAAATACCTAAAACAGAAAATATTATATTGGTATGACATAAGCCAGATAACTTTATCAGAAAAATTTATAGTTAACAAGCTATTACAATAGGGTTTTGACAAATATTGTCCATTTCAAGTCTTCTTTGTGTACATATCTATTATAGCTATACCACATATACAAGACTTACCTTGCACGTGTACATATACATTGGTCTATTATAGCTACACCACCATCTTTATATTTCTCATGTATACAAGACTTACCTTGCATGTGTACATATCCATTGGTCTATTATAGCTACACCACCATCTTTATATTTCTCATGTATACAAGACTTACCTTGCATGTGTACATATCCATTGGTCTATTATAGCTACACCACCATCTTTATATTTCTCATGTATACAAGACTTACCTTGCATGTGTACATATCCATTGGTCTATTATAGCTACACCACCATCTTTATATTTCTCATGTATACAAGACTTACCTTGCATGTGTACATATCCATTGGTCTATTATAGCTACACCACCATCTTTATATTTCTCATGTATACAAGACTTACCTTGCATGTGTACATATCCATTGGTCTATTATAGCTACACCACCATCTTTATATTTCTCATGTATACAAGACTTACCTTGCATGTGTACATATCCATTGGTCTATTATAGCTACACCACCATCTTTATATTTCTCAT